GGCAATGCTGGTGCCTGGCAGTCCTGCGTTTATTCTGTGGCCGCGGTGCTGCAGCTGAGGGTCCTGTTGAAAAGGGGTCGGTCAAGGAAGAGCAGGGAGGGGGTGGGGGGTGCTCTCTCCAGCTCCAGCACTGTGATGTTGTTGGGGTGGCCAACGTGCAGCACCGAGCCAGGCACAAAGAGGGTCTGCTGGGGCCCGCGGCAGGGCCAGTACCGGCCCAGGTTGAAACCGTTTATCCACAGCTGGCCCTGGAAGATGGAGATGGGACTAAGCTGTGCCCCTCTCCACCCTCACCCCCTTTCCCAGCTATGTGCCGCCTTACCTTGCTCCAACTTGGGAAATTCACAAAGGTGTCCCAGGCGATGCCAGGGGTCTCAAAGGTCCCAGTGTAGAAGGCTGGCCCTGCTCTGGCCCTGCTGCTTGATTTTGGCGGGGCAGTGTGGGGCCAGCCCTGCTGGATGGCAGTGTCTATGGCCAGGGGGTGGATCAGCCAGTTCCTGAGAGGGCTAGAGTCCAGGGAGAGGTTCCCCTTCAAGCCCTGAGATGGAGCATGAGAGAAAATGAGGCTGCAGGGTCTGCCCTGGGCAGGAGGGTGTTTGGCTTCCCCAGGGCTTGTCTCCCTCCCTGCAGCAGAGGTGGGATGGGATCCCTTCAGAGGGGCTGTGTGGCAATGGCAGTGTAACTGGGAGCCAGGGGTGCCAATCTCATGGCCTTATCCTGGTCCTGGTGGGTTTGCCAGGAGCAGGGCAGGGGGTGGTGTGAGATTAACCAGGGAGCAGGTCTCTGGGGGGCCCCCACCATGGCTGGGGTCTGTCACAGGTGGCAGGAGAGGGGGTGTTTGGCCACACGGGAGCCCAGGCTGTCCTTTCTGCAGTCCCAGCACCCTCTCCCCTCACCTTGAAGTCGCTGATGTTGGTCCCAAAGCTGATCCTGCCCATGTTCTCCAGGAGCACGTCCAGCATGTCCCCTGCCCTGCCCGTCACATGCAGTGCCACCTGCCTGTCCCGCTCCAGTGTCCCCTGGTACTCCTGCAGCCAGAGTCAGTGCTGACGCCCTGTGCCTGGATCCCACCGCCCCAGTGGCTGCCAGCAGCCTGGCAGCAGAGCATCCTGCTGCCTGCCCCCCTAGAGCCGGCCCAGGGCTGCCCTCTGCCCCCAAAAAGGGGGCAAATTTGGGCCAGGGGCTACCCCACAAGGTTTCAGTGTGGCTCTTGGCACCCTGGCTGTCCCTGAGATGCTGGCATGGGACAGCCCTGCTGCCAGCCAGTCCCACAGCCCTCCCAAGCACCAGGGATGGGTGTGCTCCCACAGCCTCACGTTCTGCAGCATCACGTAGCCGCGGTCACAGATGCTGTGGGGAGGAGCGCTCAGCACGACTGGGGCCAGGATGTCCCGGGGCAGCTGTGTGCGGTACAGCACGAAGCCATGGGTCTGCAGGACACAGCAGAGCAACACAGAAAGGGAAATGGGGACAGCGATGAGACTCATTCCTCCACCCCACAGAAATGGGGACAGCTATGAGACTCATTCCTCCACCCCAGAGCCAGGGCAGTGCAGACAAGCCTAGGAGTGTCTCCCACTGCACCCAGCCCCTCACCTGCTTTATGGCCTCAAAGGTGAGGGGGAACTGGCTCTGGATGGGCTCCCAGGGGGACAGCACATCCAAGACATCCAGGAGGTCAGCATACTGCAAAGAGAGGGACGGGCGTGGGGCAGCTGGGCAATGCCAGGTAGGGTTGGCCCAGCCCTTGGGACAGGCACTCACCTTCTGCAGGGACACCCGGCCGTAGGCATACTTGGGGGTGGCAGGTGGC